GGTAAGATCCTTCGGTGTTATTACAAGTTGCATTTGCATGGCAAGGTGAATCTGGTTGACATTCGTTTGTATCTAGGTAATACAGAAAGATAAAGTTGTCCATTACATTGAGATGTTTGTTGTGGTGATTGCCACCCCTATACTCCTGCTGTATATAACTTACCATTGCATGTAAATCCATCACCACTGTATCCAGAATCACATGCGCAATGGTAAGATCCTTCGGTGTTATTACAAGTTGCATTTGCATGGCAAGGTGAATCTGGTTGACATTCGTTTGTATCTAGGTAATACAGAAAGATAAAGTTGTCCATTACATTGAGATGTTTGTTGTGGTGATTGCCACCCCTATACTCCTGCTGTATATAACTTACCATTGCATGTAAATCCATCACCACTGTATCCAGAATCACATGCGCAATGGTAAGATCCTTCGGTGTTATTACAAGTTGCATTTGCATGGCAAGGTGAATCTGGTTGACATTCGTTTGTATCTAGGTAATACAGAAAGATAAAGTTGTCCATTACATTGAGATGTTTGTTGTGGTGATTGCCACCCCTATACTCCTGCTGTATATAACTTACCATTGCATGTAAATCCATCACCACTGTATCCAGAATCACATGCGCAATGGTAAGATCCTTCGGTGTTATTACAAGTTGCATTTGCATGGCAAGGTGAATCTGGTTGACATTCGTTTGTATCTAGGTAATACAGAAAGATAAAGTTGTCCATTACATTGAGATGTTTGTTGTGGTGATTGCCACCCCTATACTCCTGCTGTATATAACTTACCATTGCATGTAAATCCATCACCACTGTATCCAGAATCACATGTGCAGAGGTAAGATCCTTCGGTGTTATTACAAGTTGCATTCGCATGGCAAGGTGAATCTGGTTGACATTCGTTTGTATCTAAGTCATCAAAAACATAACGTTGTGGATTTTTCGTAGATTTTTATTGTGGTTATTAGTTCTGCAATATTAATGTGACAAAATACAATACGGTGACGTGACGCCAGCGCTGGCTGCTACGTGCCGTCGTGCTCGGTAAATTTCTTAGGATTTTTCATATTTCGTTTGGCCTTTCAAACGAATTATATCACAGAACGTTGTTTAGACAGAGTCGTCGTTTTGGAGGGTACAATGTACTGTTGCTTCTATTTTTGTTATTCACTGGTCAATGGTTGGATTTTTATTGTTAACTACGCCGAATTGGACTTTTCCGTTGTCTTTTTTCTGCGCGTGCAAGTTAAAGACGGTTGATTGACGAATGCAAATGAACACGCCACCGCGTTCGGATTAACTAAGCGCGTGCGCTTGAATTAGAACATTAGTAGAACATTTTTCGTCTTATCATATTGAATATGATTTCGCCTAAAGTGTGCCACATTATTGTCTTTTTGTGGTTGGTACTTCGTGGCATTAATATTAATGAAGGAACCCAGTTGAACTTATTTTATGCAACAACAAAAGTTCTTGGACCCCATCGTTTTTATCATGTTTGTCGTGTTAGAAAGCACCGCGTAGCAGCTTTGGTCTCTGTTCATTCGCTAGTACGAGGACTATATAACATTGTTGCAAAGATCTTCTCTGCCGTTGATTTTGCTCCTGTTGGCAAATGATGCGGAAATAAATCCTGGTCCTGTTTGTTCGCAACATTCTTCGCTAAATTGTATCGGTATGAACGCTCGAAGCCTAAAGAGTTTGCATACTATGAATGGTCAACAAACATGTAATCTCTCACGTTTTCAAGATTTAGTCTACACAGAAAACGCTGACCTTGCATTAGTAACTGAAACTTGGCTCCACAAAGATATTCAGGACGGCGAAATATTACATGAAGATTCCGAGATTTATAGAAAGGACAGAGAAGGCCGTGCTGGTGGAGTCTTATTAGCCGTTAAATCCAGTTCGTTTAGTGCAGTTCATGAATTGGTCAATAAAAGGTGTAAACTTAAAATGATTCCTGTAAAACTGACAACAGTATCAAGGACTAAGTTGTGTGTATGTTATTGCTATAGACCACCAAAATCGAACAGTAATTGGTTAAATCTACTTAATTTCTACCTCGCCAACTTATCCACGCGTTATGATAACGTTGTGATTTATGGTGACTTTAACCTACCAAAAAGAATTTGGGATTCTCCGGATAAAACTGCAGGCTCTGACGAAATACAATTTACTAAAATTTTGAATGATTACTTTCTATATCAAGTTAACAAACAACCAACAAGAGGTTAAAATATTTTGGATCTTGTTATCACCACCATACCAGATCAGGTAAAAGTTAAAACTATTCTTCCCCCACAAGAAAGTGGTATTATAACAGATCATAACTGCATCGTTTTCAATATCTGAGCCACCGTGAAAGCCCCGGTTAAACTTAATAGGTATGTCTACGATTACCAGAAAGCGAATTTCGAAGGTCTGCGCTCGATTTTGCAAAGTATTGACTTTTCCAACATCAAAGAAAGCAATACGGATGTGATTGCCGCCTGGTCCTATAATGGAAGGAAAATATCTAGCCGCAATACGCTACTTTGTTCCTATGAGAAAAATTAATGGAAAGAACTCACTACCTTGGATAACTGAATATATTCTACATATGATAAAGAAAAAAATCGGTACGTACAAAGTTGAGAACGTCGTCTTCAGTTTATCTGACCGCTAAATTCAAACAATTGCGATCCACAATCATGCATACGATAAGCGACAGTCGAACGAAATACTTTTAGAATTTAGAACAGGATATTGTAACAAACCCGAAACGATTTTGGTGCGTCTTCAAAATTAGCAAGAAAGCAACCAGTGTTCCAGCGCAAATGTCAATACCGTCGGACACCAAATATACGGACAAGAAAGTCGATCGGAAATTAATCTCCAACCCCGTTGAGATCGCTGAACACTTCAACTAGTATTTCACGTCGATATTTTCGTGTGACTCGATCGAGTCTCCCACGCAATTTTCAACCGTTAGCGGTCAAGTCCTTTCAGAGATTTCCCTCACGTCTCTCGAAGTGGCATCTGCACTTGTTTACTTGATGTCAGCAAAATATCAGGACCTGATGGAATTACTGCAAGACTTTTGATTGAGACATCTGAACAAATCGCTCCATCGTTAACTTTACTGTTTAACAAATCACTAGAGGAAGGTGTATTTCCTGACGAGTGGAAACTGGCAAATATCGTTCCTGAATACAAGAAAGACGACAGACAATATGTGGAAAACTATCGGCCAATATCACTGCTTACCATCATCTCAAAAGTTCTAGAACGTTGTGTTCTTGTCCGACTACGTGACCACCTCTTGGAAATTTTAGTTTGTACGCAATGTGGATTTATTCCTAATAAATCCTGTGTTACCCAATTGGTTGAAGTTATCCATTACATTGGCGCTTTACTAGAATCCGACAAACAAACTGACGCTATATATTTAGATATGTCGAAAGCATTTGACAAAGTTAAACACTCCCCCATCCTTGCTACACTGCGGCAATATAACATATGTGATCCCCGAGCCGACGGCGCGAAGCGCCGTGCGAGGATACTAATTCCCCCGGCTATTTACACCCGAAGAAACGATTAAAGCATTAGCGAAGTCTAAAGTTCATCAAATATCGCGGACGTGGCTCACCAGTGTTTCGGTGGGTGGTCATCCTCACTGATCTCAAAAATGTGGCGGACTGTCATGAATTGCGGACACTGATTGGTCCAATTTAAAGTTTGCATGACGACAGTGAAATAGCAAACATTTCTTGATTTGATGATTGATAAATTTCTCGCAAATATATTTCATTTTTGCTCGCATTTTTGCAAGATTTTGCAAATTTCAAAAGCTCTGTCACTGAACGAAACTGCGAAAGAATCGGCTAAAAGAAGGGAGCCGACGTTAACAAAGTTAAGTTTGTTTTAAATATTGATTTATAATGGCTTTAAAACCCGACGGCCTTTGCGTATACGAACCAACTAAACAAGACAGCAATGATATAATTTCAGTGTATCTTTAATATTGATTCCCTTTTTTATGATATTGAATATTTTAAATAAAAAAGAAAGCAAAATTATTTGCAAGTGAAAATTTGAAATAATTTTATTTCAAACTCAAAGTTTATCGATAAAGCCATTTTAAAAGGCAGATTAGTTTTATAAAGAACACTTACTGACTTTAAAACGTTTTGCGAAGCGTTTGTGGTTTTTAATTTTACCTTAAATTGAGGCTTATATTACGTATAATAACATACCTAACATATACATGTTGCCAAATTAATAATTTTGTAATTAAAAGTGATATTTTTAGGCGATTTTTCATTTGTAAGAATATTCTTAAAAATTATCGTGTTACCATGACAAGTACTTTAGATACTTCATGTTCGGAAAATGCAATGGTTTTGTCTGCAAAGCGAGGGTTTCTGCATGCATGTATTTTCTAGTAGTTTGCTAAAATGGTTCAAATCATACATTCATGGGCGAAAACAACGCGTTACAGTACTCGGTGGAACATCCAAAGAACGAGAGGTAACATCTGGAGTTCCTCAAGGCTCCATCCCTGTATCTAAACGATCTGCCCCGCCCGGTAAAAAGATCAAAAGTGGCTTGTTTCGCTGATGACACCAAGGTTCTAAAGCAAGTTAACAACTTTGAACATACCGTCGGTCTTCAAAGCGATATTGACAACATCAACACTTGGGCCAGAGAGAATGTTTTTAAATTCAACCAAGCAAAATGCAAGTGCCAGCGTATTACTCGCAAGAAAACACCCTTTGAATATCCGTACGCGATTAATGGTCAAACACTTAGTATTCTGAGTCATGAAAAAGATCTTGGTGTCTTGTGATTTGACTTGGAACAAGCAAGTTATTGAGCTGCATTTGAAAGGGAACAAACTATTGTGATTCCTACGAAGATCATCCCGGGAGACAAGAAACCCAGTAACAAGAGGATGCTTATATCTCACAGTTGTACGACCTCACCTTGGCTACGCTACCCAGATCCGGGCTCCTCAAACAATCGAGCTGATCAAGCGAGTTGAAAGAGTTGAGCGTCGTGCGACGAAGTTTATCCTAAATCTACCATTCTGCAGCAAAGTGCCCTACGAAGACGGTTTAATAGACTCCAACTTACTTCCAATTAGTTTCTGGCACGAATATTTAGATTTGGTACATTTTTTCAAAATGATTAATGGTTTGATCTATGCAAATAAAGATATACTACCAGCACGAAATCTTGGCAATGAAAGGAAGACGAAAGCAACAAGCAATCCAGACATTATCTTCTTCTGTGCTAAGAAATGAAAGACTGTAACCTACCAGACCGCTTTCATCAACAAAACAACTAGAAGTACATGCATGCAGTAACCCCTCGCCAATATTTTCCAACCATTAAATTAACATGAAGTGTTCAGAAATGGCCGCCACTGAACGCAGGCTCGCGCTCAAGAGTTGCCATAGAGTTGCCACAAGTCGGCCTCGAACGAAACGCGCGCAACGAGCGCGAGCTCGAGCGACAAAGTCGCTCGCGCGAGGCCGACTTGTCATACTTGCAGCGCGCCAAATTTTACTGACCCAAAAATGGGTCAGTAACGCTGATCTATACATATTGTGAGCTTCATTTGTTGATGACGTCTTTAACCAATCAGAGAAGCGTGAAAGGGACATGTTGACGTATTTATAAATAGACTTCCAGAAACAAGGAAATTGCGCAGTATTTCGTGTTGTGCCTTTCAACACTGTGTCTGTTGTTTCTGTGTTTACAATTTTAACACAATTAGGTATTTTCTAAATGGAGAATTCGGTTTCAAAGGCGATTGAAAAGGCACAGCAGTTTTGATGATGATGATGATAACCTTTATTTAAAAATCACACGCTAGCCTCGTCAACTTTCGCTGATTTCCACGAGGGGCGTGTCAATTACATTATAAATAGTAACAAACATTAAAAATGAACATATTTACAATAGTCAACCTAATATTATACCATAATAATTATATTTACATTATATTATGAGAAATTGTGAGCACTAATTCGACTTTTAAATATTGGCAAGGTAGCCGAATCACGCAAATATTCAGGTAAGGAATTCCACAATTTCGCCCCATCGTAAGAAAAACTTTTCTTAATATTTTCAGGCTATTTAGAGTTTGGCTATTTAGAGTTGAAAGAGTATCAACGGCAGACCATTGAAGACTATCTATCTGGCAGAGATGTTTCCGTTTCGGCACAGACAGGATATGGGAAAAGCTTAACCTTTGAGTTAGCTCTGCATGCTTTCGAGTACTTGTCGAAAAATTACAAGTCGCTGGTTCTCGTTGTCGTTCCGTTGGGATCGCTTATGAAAGACCAAGTTAGCAATTTGGTCAGTCGTGGAATTCCTTTTTCCTATATTCCTTTTTCCTGCTCGGAAGATCAACTGAAATCTACCTTAGATTTCAAATCCAGAATCGTATTTGGGAGTCCCGAAGCATTTCAGAATAATAACCGGCTTTTAACGCTACATATTTCAATTCTAAATTTGAACACGGTTTGCTCTTCCGTTCTCCGCCAGTAATTAGCTTTCTTCTGTAATATGTATTTTTAACAACGTTTGCGCACAGGAAACAAATTTTGTCTTTTGAAGATGGAGAAACGCACGCTCGATGTATCGTTTTTATAGCTCGAGGTGTAGTTTCAGTCATTTGCGAATGCAGTGTCAGTGGACGCATGCAGCTGATTTGGCGTGGAGGGAAGTATGGGCGATATTTTGGATTATGTTAATTTGTTGGGGTTTATTCTAGTAATTGGCGACAAACATACCACATTGTTCTTATTAAACAATTGCCGTTAGTAATATAAAATATTCTGAGCGTCTCAAAAGGGTAAGGAATTCAAGGTTTCTGTTCTACTATTGGAATATGTAAAGCCGGTGGTGTACCTTCAAGCGAAAACTACATTCAG